CTTTGAAGAAAATGAGACTTTGAAATATGAAACAAAATGATAATTCTGTAAGATCTAAAAGTATCTGTTTCAATAATCTTAACTACTTGTAATGTATAGAGCTAAATTGAGATGCCACTAACAGCTACCGAGTGGTAAAGCTGGGAGGATTGATGGAAGCATTGCCCCTACAATATCCCTTCAACTTTTTACTAATTCTAATTCTACCTTTTTTGATATTCTAGGCACCAGCTAGACAATGCCATCCCCATCCCCCCAGGGGTAAGAGCCACAGATCCATGGGACGCCTCCCCGCTTCTAGTTTCTAATGTTCTCAAGTTCTTACCTTTCTTCTCCCAGCCTTAGAGGTGGTATTTGCTTCTTAAAGTTACTATGACTGCGTTAACTGTGTTCATTTTTCTTTTCCAGTTTTCCGACACTAGTTGAACCTTTTTACATTAATAGTTGCCTTAAACTACCTGTTGTTTCTTTTGCTTTCCTGATTGGAGCTTGATTGACAAAACCAGGTGTAGTAGTTACAGGCTTGATAGATAGTAAGTACTCAGTAAATATTAGTTCTTGTTCCCTGGCAGGAGGTGAAAATAGAAGTTGGAATTTTACTGTGCCCTTTTCTCCCTAACTTCCCTACTAAGAGGAACATTGTTCTGAAATAAAGCTTTGTGGACTTTTACTCCAGAAGTAATTTTGATATCATAGCAAATGTGTGCATTCTCTATAGATAATAGTCTCTGTCATATTATACACACCACTATATATGTATGTATCAATGAGTGAACACAGATATGTGTATGTTAACTACATGTGTGTATGTATATGGGTGAAAGCAAAGAAAATAGGGGAGCATTACTTTTAATAATGGTGAAAATATTTTTTGTCTTGATTTCTATAGTGTGTTTGCTTAGACAAATGGTGTTAAAAAGTCACATATAATTTAACAGATATTTAATAGTTCCTGCATTTTAAAATCTTATATCTAGTGACAGTAGCAATGTACATTTTTATACATTAAATATCACTACATAGATCATTCAATAACCACCTTAAGACTTCAACACATAAGGGAAATACAAGGAATGTGCTTTAGAAACATGCCTCTGAACTTGGTACCTGTCTCCTGTCAGATTTCATGGCCCACTGTTGTGCCCCTGAAGAGCTTGGCTACATCTACATAAAATCTTCCTGGTTTAGGGATGTGAATTTCCTGATATTATATTTTATGTTCAACCATTTCCATTTGATTTTATTTCCTGCCGGAATTTCTGTTTCATCTTATCATGATTGTTCTTTTTATTCTGATCATTTCACCTTCCTTGATGAATAGCTCAGACATCTCCTGAGAATGATATGAGCTCCAGTTAGTTAACAAAGTTGAAATTTCTTTCTGTAACAGGGAGACAGATGCTGCATATGTTGCCCCAATGAATCTGAAGTCTGTAATCTTTGAGCATTTTAGATTTTGGTACCTGGAACCCCTGGGCAACAATTAGTTTCTAACAATGTACTTCAATCTTCTTATAGCAATCTCTGATCACTCATAATTTCTATCTATTCTCATAGAATAACACATAAAAGTGAAACAGACCTGCCTTTCACCACCTGTAACTTCTAAGTGAGCAAATTTTTGGCTTTCTATTGTCCTGAAGCTACTTACAACAGAAATAAATATTCACATAACTTGTTGCAGAGGGATATTTGGTGGTGGGCAGGGGGTGGGAGAAGTGTCAGTGGTGTCAATGGATAAAACAAGAAGAAAACAACAAAATAATAAAGAGAGGAGAAAGAATTTTGAAAGCCAAAGGTCATTTGTTATCATATAAAAATATATATGCATCTCTGAAAGGGGTCCACATATACAAATATATATAAATGTGTATGTGCAAAATATGAAATATGTTTTTGCATTTTCTGTGTGCTTTAGCACAGCTAATATGGATCAACTACTAGAATCTGCTGTCTGACATTTGTGTAACTATGTTAGCATGTTTTACTATTTTCTCTCAAGAGCACATTGTGAGATATGTGAAAACAAGTCCTAGGCCCTACTGGGTAGTAATTATATTAAATGTATATATATAGAAAGAGTAAATTATATATAGTAAATACATATATTATTATTGAATAAACTTATAGATTGCCTTTTGACTACTAATTCATTCATTTATTTGTTATATATATTTTAAATACTGTACCAAAGGTTTGCAAGGCATTGCAAATAGATCAGGAAAAGAATTCAACAATAACAAAAACACCAACCAAACCTCACTGCCTTCATGGTGCTTATATTCTAATTGGACAATATGAACACTATCAAATATAAAATTGTAATATATAATGTATCCAATAGTAATGAATGTCACCAAGAAGAACAAGGTAAGTAAGGTGGCTAGGGTAGGGGTGAGTATGTGTGTTTGTGTGTGTATGTGTGTGTGTGTGTGTGCACACGTGTATGTGTGTGTCTGTGTGTGGTGTAATATTTAAAAGGAGTCATGGAGACCTCATTGAGAAGAGGTTTTTTTTGAATAATCACTTAAGGAGATGGAAATAAAATGGGTCTTGTAAATAAAGTTGAAGGAAAGGGCAAGTGCAAGGGCCTTGAGGCATCAGTGTGCCAGGAGGACTTACGAACCAGGAGGGGGTCTATGCATCTGAGGCGGAATGAGCTAAAGGAAGGTATAGTAGAAGGTATAACCAGAGGGGCAATTGGAACCTAGCTCTGTAGTTTTCTGTTAGCATTATAATGACTGCAGATTTTATTCAAAATCAATATGGAAACCATTGGAAAGTTTTGACCAGAGGAGACTAATCAGATTAAGGGTGGAAGAAAAAGCCTGGGTAAAAGGCTATTGCTTGACAATAAAATGGCACAGGATGTTATAAAAGTTGTGAGTTTCTGTGGTACCTTCAAGAAGGTACTTCCAACAGGAATTGCTGATGGATATGATGTGGGCTATGAGGGAAGGAAATGAATCAAGGGATATAAATATTAGTAAACAGTGATGAGCCGGGCGCGGTGGCTCAAGCCTGTAATCCCAGCACTTTGGGAGGCCGAGGTGGGTGGATCACGAGGTCAAGAGATCGAGACCATCCTGGTCAACATGGTGAAACCCCGTCTCTACTAAAAATACAAAAAATTAGCTGGGCATGGTGGCACGTGCCTGTAATCCCAGCTACTCAGGAGGCTGAGGCAGGAGAATTGCCTGAACCCAGGAGGCGGAGGTTGCGGTGAGCCGAGATCGCGCCATTGCCCTCCAGCCTGGGTAATAAGAGCGAGACTTCGTCTCAAAAAAAAAAAAAAACAAAAACAGTGATGAACCTATCACTGTTTTAAGTGTTTTACTTGTATTATCTAATTTAATTTCATAAAGAAAATATAGCATTAGAAAAATAATGGTAGAACTCATTATTTTTCTCATTTTACAGATGACAAAATTAAGATATGTAGAGGGACTGTATCTTGCCCCAGTCACATGCTTATACTTGACAGATCGTGCATTCCAATCCAGGCAGTCTGATTCCACTGGATAGTTCTCAATAACAGGATTCTGCTGCTTCTCTATGATGGCATTTAGAGTGTTTGTTTTGATAAACTGAAAGAATATTCCAACTAGGGAGTATTATGTGCAAAACTAAAAAAGACTTTAGGGAAAAATTTAAGAATTTGGTTCTGGAGATGTTAAATTTGAAATGTCATGAAGGAAGTTAGACATACAGGTAAAAATGGGGGTTCCGGGTGTAGAAATTAAATTTGGCATCATCAGACTGCAGAGTTAAGCTAATATGTTTAGGAATAGGAAGGAAAAGGAAAAGAGTCCAGATAGACTATTCTGTTGCTGAGTATACTCTTTATTTTACTATTTTATTTTTAAAGCCAGATAAGGATTTAAAAACAACAGCAATAACAACAAAGAAGAAGCAGAAACAGTATTTATAACATATTATTATTTATAATATTGGAAATTTTCTCCCTTGAATATATTTTACGAATCTGTTCTTTGTCATGCTTCCTATAGCTTAAATGGTTAAGAGCAATTGTGACCAGTAAGTGCCTGCTTATTCTCTTTTATTTTGTTGTATTAAAATAAATCATTTTGAAAGTAAAATTAAGTTTTCACTTTGAAATTTATGGGAATGAAAAGGCAGAGCTTTTCTTTCTAACAATAATAAAATTATTTCAAATATATCATCTCACACAGTGAATGAGCTGTAGAATTCAATATAAGGTTAATTTTTATGAAACCTCCATTAGGCATGTATGTCACAGAAATATGAGAAAATCTGATTGCTGCACTGTTTTATTTACCATGAAATTTTATTACCTAATAAATATGCAAAAAATGAAATAAATCTGCACTGAAATTCTTTGACTTAACCAATATTTCATAGTATGTATGCTGTGCCAATCATTGTCTAAGCCCTTTAAAAATTTTAACTCATTTCATCCTCTGACATTTCTCAATGGTAGAAACTCTATTATTAGTAATTCAAAGGTGAATAAAGTGGAGATACAGAGACAATAAGCATGCTCAGAGACAAACATCTAGCAACTGGTGGCGCCAGGTTGAGAAGGCAGGCAGACTTACATTAGATCCATGATTTACCTACATGAAAATGTTATTATAATTGAACACTGACTTTTTCATATTTATCTTATTTATATGTTGACAACTTGGGCGTATGTGTTAAAGATTCATGAAGAGAGATTTTCATTTTCCTTGAGTAGTCTTTTGATGATGTATTTCTTTCACTGAAGTTCAAGGCAGTGGTTGCATGTCTTCAGCTGTTTTGGAGAAAGGCCTTGCTTTTTGTATTGCCCTTTATAAATTCTCATACCTATTTACACTTATACTTTCTCATTCCTGACCCCATCCTCTAGAAAAATGAGGAAAGTAGGTGTGGTTTACTACATTTATTTATTTTTTTCCATTCTGAAGAACTATCAGTAGTCAAAATGAAAGGAAATTAAGAGGGTTTTTCAATCCAATTTTCTATTTTTTTCTTAGGAGGAAATTGAAGCAGAACATAATCCAAATCTATTCAGAGAACACTTTGGTTCAGTGAGGACTTAATCAAGAATACTCATTCTGTACAGGCCAGGCAGTAAGTATTCTAAGCATTTTGGGCCACATATTATCTGCCCTATATTCTTCATTGTTTGTTTTTAAACTTGGAATTGTAAAAATTATTCTTTGCTCTCAAGAATATACAAAATTTGCCAGGTGCAGTGGCTCAGGAGGCCAAGGTGGGTGGATCACTTGAGGTCAGGAGTTCTAGACCAGCCTAGCCAACATGGTGAAACCCCATCTCTACTAAAAATACAACAATTAGCTGGGTGTGGTAGTGTTCACTTGTAATCCCAGCTATCAGGAGGCTGAGGCAGGAGAATCGCTTGAACCTGGGAGGCAGAGGTTGCAGTGAGCTGAGATCATGCCACGGCTCTCCAGCCTGGGCAACACAGCAAGACTCCATCTCAAAAAAAAAAAAAAAAAAAAAAAAAAGAATATACAAAATTGGGCTGCAGACATGACTAGCCCACAGGTAAAAAGTCTGCCCACTTCTGATCTGGATGTATATTTGTAAAGAAATTGCCAAGTCCAATTAAACAATGTGATTTTCAATTGAATTTTTTCCCGTCTTCCATTCAACTCTCTACAAATATTTATTAAGCACATAAGACCTGCTGAGCCCCTTCCTCAATGCTGTGGATATATTAATGCATCGGGCTGACCAATGTTCTATGCTTATTGAGTTTTCCCTGTTGTAGGACAAGAAATAAGGATATCGGAAAAGTAAATAGAATAATACAAATGTAGCTATTAATAAGTTCATGAAGGAAACAAAAAAAGGTACTAGGATAGGTTGAACATGGAGTGTGGTGCCTACTTTACTTGGGTGGTAAGAGAAAGTCCCTCTGGGAAGATGTCATTCAAATAAAGATATAAATGAACATATTTGTAGAATAAAGAAAATGCCAATACAGAGGACTGTGGGCATTAGGTGAGTAATGTAACACCAAAAGCTAGCACTTAGGTACACCTTAAAGCTAAGTTTTCTTCCTTGAGTGGCCAACCTCCTGATAGCTGTCACTGCAGAATTTTTACACTTTCAGTCTGAGTGAAAGAGTTCAGTTAACAAAGAACTTGGATTAGGGTTGAAAGTGTTCAAGAAACAGGCAAGAAGCAAGCTAATATCCCTGGATCATAGTTAATTGAGAAGCATAATGATTAATGAGGTTGGGGAGGTAGAAATTACTCTATTATGGGATTTACGATTTATTTTAATTACAATGGCAAATTATGGCAGGATTTAAGCAAGGGAGGAATATTATCAGATTCATCCTTTAAAAACATTACCCTGGAGAATGTATTATGAGAATGCAAGAGCAAAATTTGAAAACATAGATGTAATTCTTCTAGAAAAAATTCAAGCAAAGGCATAAAAAATGCTCTATGATGCAGCAAAATTTACTTTAGGAAATAAAGATATAAGGACTGATTTAATGATTACTATTTGTTATATATACCAAAATTTCAGGCTTCTCTTTCAAAAATAAAAAACAAAAAGGAGAGCACTTTTGTGGTAAAAACATGAAAAATACAGCAAGAAGAGTTTTCTTATTTTTAACAATAGTGTTTTCCAAAACACTAGAAATCAGCAGAGTCTGTAAACGCAGGTGGTACATCAAGTTGTATTGATTTTCTTTGGGTAATTAATTTGTGTACCTTTATAAAGTACCATTTAATAATATTTTTACTTAAAATAGGAAAAGCTTATCAATGGTTAAAAGGACACTTGATGTGTACCAATGACTATTCTTTGAATCTATTGTTTTCTATTATTGTAAGCATAAGTTGTCACATTTTGTTTAAAAGAAAAATGAGGTTCTGCTTATTTGTCTTTCCAAGATTATGCCTGCATATTAAAAGGAAATAAAGAGAAAACAAATTAGGGAAAAAAAGGCAAAGAAAGTAATATAAGCAATATTAGTCGATTTCTGACAAAGATAATTATTTAAATTGCTGTTTATGTGAGGCATGCTTGCTTGACGTACCGGTAGGAAGCTAAGTATCTACATGTTGTCAGATACATTTAGTTATATAATAAAAACTGATTTTAAACCTGTCTAGTGTTTTTTTTCATCAGTAAGTCTCCTAAGAGGTCTAACTGCTTCTATCTCCTTCCTCAGTACGTAATATACTTTATAGAAACACAAGCTGCAAGCGGAGTGATCTGTTCAAAATTCAAACCAGAACTATAAGTAGTTTTGCTTAAAATTCTTCCACATCACAGCTAAACTGCTGAGCAATTCAAACTCTATGCTATAGTCTACACCTCCTCAAATGAGCTTACTCCCTCCAACTCTCAGATTCCCAGTTATAAACAGCACCAACTTCTTATAACTCCTGAAGTACAGGCTGAAATAGAGCTTCTCGAACACAGAGAAGAAAGCTTCTTGAACACAGTAGTTAAATCCCTCCTTACTCTCTATTAGAACATTTAGTTTTATTTCCTCTAAGGGCTGTTTCAATCTATGCTTGCCTTGCACGTGAATATTTGCTTATATTGGTTGCCTACCCTCAATATATGAATGTTTCTCTACTGGAGAGAGATCAGTTAATCTAGTGCCTTTTCAGTCACTGCGTAAATTAGATAAATAGCAAACATTTTCTAAACGGATTGGTAAGTAGGATAACTAAAAAATATAATAGTGAGAATATAATATTCCGTTGGAAAACAATGTAATGGGACATTCCTGATACTCTATTTAGAAATATAAAGTAATACATGATTACATTTGTTCTGACTTTTGGACAAAAAGGTCACGTGGAGGACACAGTATCCAACTGAACTCTTCACTGATTGCTCCCTTTCCCATATCCATATATCCATGGCATTATATGTAATATAAACAGAAAACAAAAACACTGAACACTCTAGGATTGTGCTAAGTTATATAAAAGTGCCATTTGTCTATATGTCAAAAACTGAGAAATTCTTCCTATCTCCTGCATTAATGAACTGAAAGCCCTAATGTGTGGCTTCTCAGGAAAAAAGAATATAACATTGCTAACAAGTAAGTGTTACACAACCCTGAAGAACATCACTGAAATAAATTAAAGTGATAAGATCAGGAAGTGAACACAGGTAGTGGAGAAGAGGAGAAGACCATTATTTGAATTAACTCATAGTTGTTTTTAAAATAAGAAGTGTTTGGCAAAAGCACTGAATAGTCCCTGAGGTGACATGTAGCTAGGCCCAGCAAAGTCCTTGTGATGTGATAAGAGCTTAACCCTGAAAAGGAACCCCAGATATAGGGGTGATCTTGAACTTGCCAACTAACAGAAATGAAACCAAAGATCAGAAACAGAAAAATGCTTAGTTCTTCCTAATAGTATTGCTAATAATGGAAATAATTATAATAATGACAAATAAATGCACTTTTTCTAAGTGGATTCTATTCTGAGCAGTTTACATATGCATATTAACTCAAATATAAGCGATAGGGCAATGATATAGTAACTCACTATGTTTATCCCCATTTAGTATATTAAGAAATGTAAGCAGTGGGGTGTGGTGGCTCACACCTGTAATACCATCACTTTGGGAGGCTGAGGCAGGTAGATCACCTGAGGTCATGAGTTTGAGACCAGCCTGGCCAACATTGTGAAACCCTGTCTCTACTAAATATACAAAAATTAGCTGGGTGTGGTGGTGGGCACTTGTAATCCGAGCTACTCAGGAGGCTGAGGCAGGAGAATTGCTTGAACCCAGGAGGAAGAGGTTGTAGTGAGCCAAGATTGCACCACTACACTCCAGCTAGGGTGACAAGAGTCAAACTCTGTCTAAAAAAAAAAAAAAAAAAAAGAAAAAAAGAAAAGAAAAGAAAGAAATGTAAGCAGAGGGAAAAGAGGAAACTTTCTCAAGGTCCTACACTACTAGATGCTAGAGTTTGGCTTCACATCCAGGCAGAGTGAACTCTCCACTATGCTATGCACTTTGCTTGTTGGTTTAACTAAAAGAAGAAATTCAAAAGTTGCAATGTGGCACATAATATTCCCCTGATTAGACTCATGAATTTTAACACCTATACTCACTCTTTGGATTATTAAAATTATTATATAAATTACAAATCTTCTCTGCATAAGATACAGAAAAAAATTTGCTACAGCACACAGTCAGATAACAGGAAAAAGGGAAGATTATTACATAGCTCATGCCCTAGATCTGGAGTTCATTCCATGTCTAAATTGAGTAACAAGAAAAACCAGTACAAACCAAAACAATACAAATAACCCCCAAACCAAGGACACAGAATACAGATACATACAATTTTTATATGGAGTCAATTAAAATTCCTGTAACCTTAGCAAAGGAGAGGAAACATTGAAGATGGGTGATAGAGAGAAAAAAATTTGAAAACATTTGCTTTTTGCTTTGAAATAATTTTTTTTAGAAGAAATCTTGCTCTGTTGCCCACGCTGGAGTGCAGTAGCCTAACCTCAGCTCACTGCAACCTCTGCCTCCAGGGTTCAAGCAATTCTTCTACCTCAGTCTCCCAAGAAGCTGAGACTACAGGCGCATGACACAACACCTGCCTAATTTTTACATTTTTAGTAGAGACGGTGCTTCACCAAATTGACTAGCCTGTTCTTCAATTCCTGACCTTGTGATCCACCCGACTGGGACTCACAAAGTGCTGGGATTACAGGCGTGAGCCACCACGCCCAGCCACTTTAAAATGAATTTTAAAAAACACTATAAAGCAACATAAAACCACAAGATAACAAAGATAATAGAACATTTTATAAGGAACCAGGTAAGAAGAATTGGAAAAGATATGGAAAACTGCTATAAAGCCAATACACACAAAATCAAATTATTGATATTTATTATAGCCATCAAAAAGCAAAGTTGTCTCTGCAGAAAGTTAAGCAAGTGATTCCTAGGACAGATTTGATGATTTTTCTCTGATGCAGAGGACTTTGGGAAAGGTTTGTAAAAAGGACAAAAAGCAGTAAATATTTGTGAAAGACATATAATGTTGCTTTTGGTAGTTGAGATTTAAGAAAAATACAATAACAACTGAAATAGGAGCAATTGACCTATGCAAAAGCTAGTAATAATATGATAGGATGGCAAAATCCAGGAAAATCAATTTTCAAATATAACAATGTCATATATATCCATTTTATTTAAATAGAAAAAAAAATAAGAACATTGATAGTCTAAAAGGAAAAAAAAATCAGGATGGTCTCAAAGTTCTCTGTAATACTGTATGCCTGAAGAAAAAATAATTTAGGCAATAAGCAAATGTGACCTATAATTAGCTAGCAAAATTGTGCCTCTGAATTTAAAAGCTGCAGAAATATATCTTGACATACACAAAATGCATCTTGAAATTTTTAAAACACTAGCTACATACTCTTCCTGAGGGTAGAAAAATAGATGTTACATTGGGAAGAATCAAGAGGCTACAGTATAGAATAACTTTGATTGAGCATTGAAACCAGTTATTATAAACTGAAATTAAAATAATTATTTTTAAATTGATTTCAAAATAGTATATAATGATAAAACTCTAGTTAAACAGAATTTATTAGTATAATTTAAATGTTGAATGTTTTTAAGGAGTACAGCTGAAAGAAGTTGTTTAGAAAAGGGAATAGAAAAAGAGCCAAATAAGGAAAATGAAACACGTTTGCTAAATACATTTCGAAGAGAAAATACACTGATTTTTGATTCAATACATGTTTATACAACTTTTCATGATTGAGACCACAAAACAAATATCAATAAATTACTAAAGTAGAAATCGTGCAGATATTTTCTTGCCATATGCATTAAAATGCATATAAATGATAGCAATCATTTCACTTATTCTAAATGATTACTTTACTATTAGTTAATAATAAAAAATTAACTAATGTTATGAAACTCCTTGGAAATTAAGCTTATGTTGAACACACACAATCTTAAGTATTGTTTCTATTTTCAAGAAGAATTTTAGCCAGAACTATAGCATATTTAGAGTCTAATGGCAGGTTGAATAATAGTACCAGAGCTCAACATCTGAAAATGAATTAATTAAGTTTTCAATTTAGGAAGCACAAAAATAAAACTAACTAAATAATAGGAATATAGAAGGAAAGTATTACTTAAAGAAAAGTACAAACACATTAATTTAAAAAACAGAATAGATTCCCACCTCACAATTTAATAAATTCCAAATGGGTTAAGCATTGTAAAACAAACATGCTACAATTTAAAGAAAATAGAAAGAATATTTTCTGTTTTCACAGAAAGACTATTCTAGACAAAATGGCCACACAAAAAATTAAGGTCTGTGATTGGTAGATTTGAGTATGTTATAGAAAAAAAATCTGTACATTTGTGTGATCTAACATATCATGAAGAATGATCTGGAAAATTGTGTGAAACGGAAGTGCTTTTCATGAATAACTTCTATATAATTTTTACAAAAAAGAAGGTAATGGTAAAGGCACATGAATAAGTGATGTCAACAAAAATGCAAGAATCAAATAGCTGGGCGAGATGGCTTACTCCTGTAATCCCAGCACTTTGAGGAGCTGTGGATGGTGGATCATTTGAGTTCATAAGTTCAAGAGCAGCCTGGCCAACATGACGAAACCTCATTTCTACTAAAAATGCAAACATTAGCCAGGTGTGGGGGCGGGCATCACTAGTCCCAGCTATATGGGTGGCTGAGGCATGAGAATCGCTTGAACCCAGGAGGCAGAGTATGCAGTGAACGAGCTGGTACCATTGCACTCTTGCCTGAGGAACAAAGTGAGACTCCATCTTAAAACAAACAAACAAAAAGAATCAAATAATCATTCAGCAGAATACTAAAAATGCAATTGAAAGAACAAGAGAGTCTTTATTATTTCTATTTTTAATATCAAAGAAGACTATTTGAAGCTACGCCCTATCAATACAGATAACACTAATTAAGCCTAGCTATTAGGAGGAAGCATGATTGTATTTTCATAAAATAAATGTGAAGAAAATTGTCAGCTAATTATTTGTTTACCTCTTAAATTTCTGAATTATTTAGAATACTTGTCTAGAAAAATATATTAAATTGTGAGCAAATAAGCAAGTAGCTTGAAAATGAAAGTTAAAAATTTTAGATAATGAAGAACGAACTGCCATTCACAATTGCTACACAGAGAATAGAATACCTAGGAATACAACTAACAAAGGATGTAAAGGACCACTTCAAGGAGAACTACAGACCACTGCTCAATGAAATAAGAGAGGACACAAACAGATGGAGAAACATTCCATGCTCATGGTTAGGAAGAATCAATATCGTGAAAATGGCCATACTGCCCAAAGTAATTTATAGATTCTATGCTATTCCCATCAAGCTACCAATGACCTTTTTCACAGAACTGGAAAATACCACCTTAAACTTCATATGGAACCAAAAGAGAGCCCACATAGCCAAGTTGATTCTAAGAAAAAAGAATAAAATGGGAGGCATCACACTACCTGACTTCAAAATATGCTGCAAGGCTACAGTAATCAAAACAGCATGGTACTGGTACCAAAACAGAGATATAGACCAATGTAACAGAACAGAGGCCTCGGAGGCAACGCCACACATCTACAGCCATCTAATCTTTTAAAAACCTGACGGAAACAAGCAATGGGGAAAGGATTCCCTGTTTAGTAAGTGGTGTTGGGAAAACTGGCTAGCCATGTGCAGAAAGCAGAAACTGGACCCCATCCTGACACCTTACACTGAAATTAACTCCAGATGGATCAAAGACTTAAACATAAGACCTAACACCATAAAAATCCTAGAAGAAAATCTAGGCAAAACCATTCAGGACATAGGCATAGGCAAGGACTTCATGACTAAAACATCAACAGCATTGGCAACAAAAGACAAAATAGACAAATGGGACCTAATCAAACTCCACAGCTCCTGCACAGCAAAAGAAACAATCATTAGAATGAATCAGCAACCAAGAAAATAGGAAAAAAAAAATTTGCAATCTACTGATCTGACAAAGGGCTAATATCCAGAATCTACAAAGAACTAAAACAGATTTACAAGAAAATAACAAACAAGCCCATTCAAAAGTGGGCAAAGGACATGAGCAGACACTTTACAAAAGAAGACATATATGAGGCCAACAAACATATGAAAAAATGCTCACCATCACTGGTCATTAGAGAAATGCAAATCAAAACTACATTTAGATATCATCTCACGCCAGTTAGAATGGGGATCATTAAAAAATCTGGAGACAACAGATGCTAGACAGGATGTGGAGAAATAGGAACACTTTTACACTGTAGGTGGGAGTGTAAATTAGTTCAACCATGTGGAAGACAGTGTGGCGATTGCTCAAGGACCTAGAAATAGAAATTCCATTTGACCCAGCAATCCCATTACTGGGTATATATCCAAAGGATTATAAATCATTCTATTATAAGGACACATGCACATGAATGTTCATTGCAGCACTGTTTACAATAGCAAAGACTTGGAACCAACCCAAATGCCCATTGATGATAGACTGGACAGGGAAAATGTGGCACATATACACCATGGAACTATGCAGCCATAAAAAACGATGAGTTTGTGTCCTTTGTAGGGACATGGATGAACCTGGAAACCATCATTCTCAGCAAACTGACACAAGAACAGAAAATCAGACACTGCATGTTCTCATTCATAGGCAGGTATTGAACAATGAGAACACATGGACACGGGGCAGGGAGCATCACACACTGAGGTCTGTTGGGGGAACTACGAGAGAGACAGCAGGGGGTGGGGAGTTGGGAAGGATAACATGGGGAGAAATGCCAGATATAGGTGATGGGGAGGAAGGCAGCAAACCACATTGCCATGTATGTACCTATGCAACAATCTTGCATGTTCTTCACATGTACCTCAAAACTTAAAACGCAATAAAATATATATTAAAAATAAATAAATAAATAAATTTTATTTACATATGTTAAGGATAAAAGAGTAAGAAAGAATAAAAATGACCTTAAAAATTATATATCAGTTTAAAAAACTAATGGTGATCTGAGACTTTGGTACATTTATGTTTATAATGGAAGATTAAAGAAAAAATTGTAACACAATAGTTTTCAAGAAATTACAATTAATTTTCATGGCAATAGTCATAAAAATTTCACAATGCATATAAATACTAAAAGCATTGGTTTTTAAATTGCCTTGAATTAATCTTGAGATCTTTGGAGGAGAAAGGTGTAATTTCTTTGCCCAACTCCTTAAAATTGAGGACATATTTTATCTTTTATCTCTCCTGATAGAGGAAGTAGAATGGTTTATTTCTAACTTATTAATTTATTAAATGACTAATGAAACATAACAATAATGCAAGATGTTATATAAAAGATGAAGAAAAATATTTTAAGATCCATGGTTTTCTATCAAATCAATATAAATGAATATAAATTTGTATTATTCATAAAAATTTAACAATACTCTGTTGTATGAATATTTGGTTGTTGAATCCTTTCTGCCTTAATTTATATTTTTCAATTGATTGGTTTAATGTTTATGCAAAAATTATAAATTTAAATTATGCTATTCATTCACAAGTGTATTAGAAGCAAAGGAGGTCCAGAAGAATAAGAAACAGTCCCTAAACCCATTGTTACTTGATTTGTCAATAGAAGCACGTAATAGTAACCAAAAAGAGAGCATGAGAGTGGAGCTGACAAAGATAAACCAACCTGGACACTCAAAAAAGTGATAAGGGCAGATTTTAATCAGGAATATACTCTTGTGAGTATACTCAGTGTAAACTGAACTTGCATTCAATTTGTACAGAGATGACTGGGAGATTTAAAAGGAGCATGTGGGAGTAAAGAGGGGGATGAGCATACTTGGAAAGGCAGGGAAGTAAAAAATTGCCAAGGGTTGCTCAGTGTAAATGCTGATTAGATCAGCTGTGTTTGCTAGCTGTCAATTACAGAAGTTAGGACCGTATCCACAGGAAGGAATTGCTTCCAGGTCCTTGAGAAAGACACTCCTTAGTTTTAGGATCTATATGCATCTCAAAAAACAAGGATTTCGCCATTGCATTAGTCCATTTTCATACTGCTATAATAAACTGCCTAAGACTGGGTAATTATTAAAGCAAAGAAGTTTAATCGAATCACAGTTCAGCATGGCTGGGGAGGTCTCAGGAAAATTACAATCATGGCAGATGGCAAAGAAGAAACAAGACAGCTTCTTCACAGGGCTGCAAGAGGAGAAGTGTAGAGGGAAGTGAGAAGAGCCCCTTATAAAACCATCACATCTCGTGAGAAATCCTTGCCTATCACCAGAACAGCATGGGGGAATCTATCCCCACGGTTCAGTTTCCTACACCTGGTCTCTCCCTTGATATGTGGGGATTATGAGGATTACAATTCAATATGAGATTTGGGTGGGGACACAAAGCCTAACCATTTCAAAAATTGAAAGTTTGTTCTTAGTAAAGGATTTAAGAAGGATTGTCACCAGCTTGACTTCAGGTGTTGGCTAGAACAAATAGTAAATTCCTTTCAAGTCTAGATCTTTCTTAGGAACTTCAAGAGAGGCTACGGTCATCCTAGGAATATGGCCTTGAGCTGTTAGAAGCAATGTCAGTGGTTGCTTAAGTCTTTTAATGTTGGGGGATGGGATGGACAAAATCATTCCTGTTGAGAGTCCCAGGTGAATGCCTCGTCCAGAAGAGGATTAAGGGTCTGGCTAGAGTGTGGTCAAGGAGAAAATATTCACCAGAGCAAGGACTAAAATGTCTCCAAAATTACACACTATCATAATATAAGACATATAGTACTCTGATTTATGTTTGAATTGATGTGGAAAAATCTCATCTGAAATGTCAAAACATATTTTTAAGCACAATAATAAAGTAGGGGTATACACAGAGCCTAGCACAGTGCCTAGCACAGTGCCTGGCATAAAGTTGCACTGGAATAAATATTTCATTTTGGAATAAATGAAGATAATTGAATATTAAGGCACTACTGTAAATTGCAAGATGCTTTTTTAAATGTTAATTTCTGTACATGTAGGTTGATAATATAGTTTGCTTATTAATATTGTTCCTACTCAGAAAGAAACTGTTACATTCACTGTTTTAATACTGTGGGAAAAAAATCAAATCTTTAAGGCATGCCAGGACTTCGTAGCTGCTATTTAAGATGTTGTTTTGCTACTTACCTTTTTTTTTCTTTTGCTTTTTAATGAACAGCTTGTTTCTGAAGTAGACACACACAATTTGGCACAGTTCTCTACAGTTCAGCACAATATGGTTGAATTGGCAGTCCCTGCTCTAAGGAAGCCATTATTGTCTTAGTACCAAAACTTCATTAGTCAAATCCCTATAGAATGAGGTCTTTACAAGGCAGGGATAAGAGTAATGGCGTGAGGAGGGAACTGATAATGCTAATCTTTACACTTGAAGAATGTTTACCATCGAGAAAATATGGGAAGCTAGCTTATAATGTGTATGCTTTGCTGTGGTAATTCGTTAAGAAGAAACGAAGACTTCAATTTGTTTTCAAAAAATGATTTTAATAATAAAAACTTAAGACATCTATTTACTATATACATATATTACAGCTAATTTTAAAATACCTATTACTGTGCTTTCCAGAGGCATTGAAATATAAGTCGTTCACAAACTAAACTTGTCAGAAATCATGTCTGTAAGATTTGCTGGTTGAATTAAGCATTGTCTCATAAGCTATTCAGCTAATCAGAATTTAATGAGAAACAAATACATCTGGTTGTTAAGTTTCTCTGCTTGTGAAAAAATTTTCTTACCAGCTTTTATGAGGAGTGGAAATCTTTCATGAATAAATGACATATTTCCTCTTTGCAAAGCATGAGAACCCGATAAATACATCTTCCTATAACTCAGTCACTATTGTGAATTATATTTGCACTATCTTATAAAATCAGATGTCAAAAAGTTAAGTAGAATATTTTAATTTGTAGAATAAAAACCACATTCAGCCAAAATCTTTCCTAAACCTAGAAACACAAAGTATACACATACACACAAACACACACACACACACCAGTTTATATATAAGTTACACCTTGATTAACTGTGGGGATACTTTCTGAGAAATTCAGCTTTAGTCAATTTTTGACATTGTAGGAACATCATAGAGTGGACTTACACAAACCTAGATGGTACAGCCTACTACACACTTAGGCTATATGGTTTGGCCTATTGTTCTTAAGCAATACCTGTACCATGTATGACTGTACTGAATGCTGCAGGCAATTGTAACACAATTAGATACACACAATGTATGTGTGTATCTAAGCATATCTAAACATAGAAAGGATACAGTACAAATACATATATTGTGTGTATCTAAGCATATCTAAACATAGAAAAGATATAGTAAAAATATAGCATTAAAATCTGTGGAACCAGTATCATACGTATAGTTCGATATTGACCAAAATGTCATTGTATGGCACATAACTGTATTTAATTTCAGGCACTATGTATATTTAAAACTTAAAATAAATATACCAAATATTGGAAAGACTTAGAAGTTCTATCTCTAATTCTAGTTATTTTAAGAGCTATATAATAAATATATAGTGTAATTATAGTGATATGTTTTATATAATATAAATATATCTAGTTATATATATAAGTTCTAATTCTAGTTCTAATTTTGAATTTTAATGCAGATTGTTAGAAGATATGTCACTGAATCAATAATATATTTTGTAAGATAAATTGAGTGTAATATATATGTAAAATGTAAAATGTACAAACATGTTTTAGAACATTTAAAATAAGAACAAAAAAATTAAGATATTTAAAGTTGTTGTCAATGATAAGCTACAATAGTTAACCATATAGAAAGCACTTTCTAACCATATAGAAAGCATTTAATAAAGACCTTACTAATTTGTTTATATGATTTTATATTTTGAATGGAATTCTTGAATGTTCAAATTAGATAATGTTTGAGAAAATCTTTTAAAATTTCTAACATAAATATATCTGAGTAATTAAATTGTTATTCAAAATGGTATAATTCACTTTATGTTTTTTAATATTGACAAGTGGTAAAATGATTACTTAAGGTCAAAATTTTTCATATGATTTTTAAATTTTGATTTACATTCTGTTACTTTTTAGAGCCTTAGCTTCTCAAGATGATTCAAAAATATAAAATATATGTTCCTTGTCTGAATGGGTTTTTTTTTTTTTTTTGTATTTGATACTAACATTTTTGCATAATGGACATTCCTAAATTATTTACTCTTTAGTTGTTTTATCAAAACATAATTGCTTTGTATACTGTTATGTTATATAACAGTTATGTAACCAGAACATAAAATATACAGTTTAATCAATCAGAATAAATATTATTTTACTATGTTTAAATCATTAGAATAAGAACAAAATATCTGTGGGTATATCAAGTTTTAACAAACGAATCCATAGTCATTTTGCTTAAGTACATGGAGCACTGGTATCTGATATTTACTTGGGTAAACTTTTAAAATTACTATCAGATTCAGCCAGTTTTAGATATCTTGCAAAACTAATAGGAAATATACTGTCAAATAATACATTGCTTGACAAAAACACCATAATTTCTCCGCATCTTTAAGGTTCCTAGTGATCTAATTTG